AGAGAAAGTGTGATATCTATTTGGAATAGGTTGATTAATGAGTATAGGAATAGGCTTGAGCATAGGTGGGATAGGGGGATGGGCTTGTGATAGGGGGGGGGGGGGGGGGGGGGGGTTCACACCCAGAGGGGTTTACGTACTAACTAGCGATGTATGACCTACAAAATTCGCAGCCTCTTAAAGAGGTTCCAGACCGCAATCACATGGCTCCGCTAATATTACCTACAGTGCTGGCCACCCCTGAAGTTGGTTGCCTTCTAAGAGAGAGCCTCACCGGCAGCGGCAGCGTAAACTTTCTTATTCTCTTTCCCCGCGCTCCGTTGTCAGCTGGACGGCCTGCAACTGGTCATGCAATGAGGCTCTCTGCAGAGTCTACTGAAGTTGTTGTCCCTAAATATCAAAGCTTTCGTTACGTGTATACGTCGTAGTCTAATGCGGAGTCGGGGATATATTATGTACCCAGGAGTGACAGCGAAAAGAAGTTTCATGAGTGTAGGGGATCAATAATCTCTCGTGTCTTGGAGGGCACGATCATGCATAAGCGAGGCACATTTCAGGAAAAGCTCTCCGGGGAGGATGGCCGAGGCGACGGCCAAGGTGCATGATATCAAGAGAAAAGGGGGGAGGGGTGATGCTAAGGACAAGGCAGCACACCAACACCCACCAGGTTGTTTTCAGCTAGTCAAGGGTGATGGCATAATGAAGCCGGTAGCATTACAGTAAGGCTTTCATGGACTGTCACTTCTGGCCCATGCATTCTAAGGGGCTCATATTCATGCTCTCCTCCTTGTTAAAGCCGCTTCAGGATGCAACCTCATGACAAATTCGTTGCCACCTCCGTGGAACTGTAATTTTTCATGCGCAATCCATATGTAGGCGGTGGACTTTCCTGGATTGGTCCTTGCCTTTGATCGGGGGGGGGATCCTGTGTGCTGAGTGAACCATCCTACCCCTAAATTTGCCACATGTTGAAGCTTTCCCGATTGCCAATGCCACTCACAAGAGGCACCATTCATGCGTTTCCTAGTCAGACGCTTCACATCTCCTGAATCTGAGACCCCGATTGCCCCGTCATTCCTATGCGAGTCTGAATATTCGGCCAACGCCGTCCTACCGCGCCCTCTCTTAGTCCAACGGCTAAACCGGCAGTTCCCTGTCGTTGCAGTCACAGCGGCCGCAAGTCTCAGTTGAAGCCACGAGGCACATAATCTGCCTCACTAACATGACTCATGGCGGATTTTCTCGGGGAGGGTGGTATGAATCAAGAAGTTGCCTACTAGTCGTGGGTTCGGCCGCCCCTTAGCTATCCTAGGTGTCACTTTAGTAAAGCTCGCTGATCTCAGAGGGGGAGAATTCATAGCATAATCTAAATTCAAGACGATGCAATTCAACTAATCTCAGTATCCTTACAAGCAGAAATTTTATATGGTAGAACGAAGAGCAAAATTTGTCTGTTAATTGAGTCTTAATGCGTCAGGGGGTGTAAGAAAGCATCCCTGCGAGTAGTTCCAATTTTAGAGGGGCTGGGAACCATGACCGGGTTGTCGATATTGGACTCTGGGGCTGCGCCGCGGTCACACACCATATTCCGACACTGCTCCCGCACTACTCCGGCTAAAGCAGCAACGGCTCCGGCTCACGCACGAGAAAGGAAACTGTCCATGTCGAGATTAGGATTGTGTATTGGCCTGTTACGGGGAACCAAGTCGTAACAATGTCTAAGAATAATCCCCGCTTTAAAGTTAAACTCTTAAATTTATAGTTTAAGATACACGCCAGTCACCTTTGCATTTTATATCATAGATGATCATTATTACACCAAGTACAAACATCCAGCCTGCGGGGCATCGGCTCAACGAGTGTTGCCAATAGGTCATTATCAAAATCCTCCCAAACACCGACAGCAATTTTACAGAGCCTTGTAGTAAAGTCAAATCCTTCGCTATTGATGATATTTCCCGATAGTTTTTACACCTTTTTTTCTTTAAGCAGTTACCATAGATTTTCAACAGGATTTAAGTTAGGCGAGTACAGCGGCCAGTCTTTACAGGTAAGCCTTTTCTCTTCTGCTCAATTTTTTGATTGGTTTTACACTATTCTGTAATAATGGCATCGAAGAGTATCGACTGCGTGGCCTTGATGGCCAGCCCCGGCCCACTTCGAAGCCACCCGTTGGTCTTGTTTCGTGGCGATTGATTGCCCGGCACCAAGATATGTCATGTCGTCCTGGATGTACTCTATATCGATGTTCGGCCCAATCGTCGGCCACTGACCTCCAAGCAGTCTTCCCATGACTTAATAGATGTTCAGCTTGACTCGGTATGCAGCTCTCTGGAACCCGTGGATACACACGCGCTCCCCGTTATGTCTAAGCGTCTCGTAGTCATCCGTCCACCGTACGCTGTGTGTGGCCAGAGTCTTGTTTCGACGTGCCCTTGCCATACGCCATCCACCTGATCATGGTCCCGACCACTGTGGATCGGTCGATGCACAGCCACTGGGCGTGCTGCTCCGCGAACCACTCCATCTTCTCCACCGGAATGTCTTCAACATCCAGCCGCATATCTTGGGAAGAGTCCTCCAGGAGAGCCAATCGTAAGATCCACAGCATCGCCGCCACCGTTGCCGTAAATAACTCTGTGGGCTGGAATCCATCGCCGCCTTGCCTGATGCCCGCGGCCGCAAAGAAGCACAGCAATGCGTTCGTGTACATGGCGCCACCGACTTTGGTCTTGATGGATGCAATAAGAAACGCAAACAAACACCATACTCCTCACAGAACGCCTACATGGGCCTCAGGAAAATCGCAAAAGATCTCCAACCAGGAGTTCGCACCAAGGTAGCTTGGGCCCCAGGCCACAAGGACATACACGGCAACGAAGTGGCAGACAAACTCGCGAAGGAAGGGTCAGAGCTTCCACCACCGGTATCAAGAACAGCAACGATAACCCACATCAAGAGGTGGGCCAAGAGCGAAAGGAAACGGCTCCGGGAGCTAGACTGGGACCAGAACCGACCGCCCTACTACAGACGCTGGCGACTTGACGCCCTCCCTAAGCCCCCGGAATTCCAACTCCCAAGAGCCGTGCTTCACAGGCTCTACGCGGAAAGATCGGGACACGGGGATTTCATTGAGTACCATGAAAGATTCGGACACGACACCAGATGCACCTGCAAGTGCGGCGAGCCAAGAACACAAGGCCACTTCGTAGAATGCAGATTTGGCAGTTGGGGTGCTGAAATACAGCCGACTTTACTGGTTTAGCCCCAAATGCGATGGTTGTTTAGCAAAAGGGCTTGAGGAAGGGGCAGATGAATTACCATTACGTTAGAAATAAATTACAGGATGTTTTTTTTTTCTTTCGTTAGAAGCTAAAGTACCGTACAGTATATAAAAGTAAGTGGTGTTTAGTCATGTAATGTGAATTGGCAGAAGTTATTATATTTAGGGATGGTGTATCTACGGTTGACTATAGCGACTTCTGTCTCAAAACAAATTTCTACTACACTAACACCCTGCAATTAACCAATTAAAAAAGAGAGATTTTTACACACCTAAATAGAGCCCCATATAGTAAAAATCACACTATATACATAAAAATCAGGAATAATATAAATAGTACATATCTCCCTATAAATTACTATAAATTAGCTGCAAAAATCGCTGCAAAAATTACTGCAAATTGGCTGCAAAAATCACGTAAAAATGACTGCAAAAAGTGCTGCAAAAATCACTGTAAAAAATCACTGCAAATTGGCTGCAAAAATCGCTGCAAAAATCACTGCAAATTGGCTGCAAAAATCACGTAAAAATTGCTGCAAAAATCGCTGCAAAAATCATGTAAAAATCACTGCAAAAATCACTGCAAAAATCACTGCAAAAATCACTGCAAAAATCGCTGCAAAAGGCCTGCGAAAATCACTGCAAATTAGCTATTAAAAAACCAGTAATTTTTACAGCTAACCTATAAATATTTCTAAAGCTTTTTCTTCTTATTTTCTGTCACAACCTGGTTCACTGTGAACTGCGAATCCCTTATAAGCAGTTGGTTTCATTACAGTAATTGCTACAATAGCGATTATTGGCCTAATCTTTTGCCCTGTTGGCTTAACGGTATAACGGATCGTTACATTTTCTATAGCTAATTTAATAAATAATTTTATAAGTATTTTTCTAACTTATATTTTTTATTTCTTATTTTTAATAGTAATTTTTATAGTAATTTTTGTAGTTAATTTATAGTGATTTTTATATGATTTTGCAGTTAATTTACAGCAATTTTTTAAGTAATTTTTGCAGCCAATTTGCAGCAATTTTTACGTGATTTTTGCAGCCAATTTGCAGTGATTTTTGCAGCGATTTTGCAGCGATTTTTATGTGATTTTTACAGCCAATTTGCAGTGATTTTTGCAGCGATTTTTTGTCACGACCCAACACTTATGGTCGCGACAATGGGCCTACAGGGTAGGCGGAACCGGATCAACTTAGGACCGGGCAACCAATCAAAACCGGATCGAGAAACAACTTCTCGATCCACCACAAGATCGATAAAACAAACAACGATCCTCAACCAGATCGAGGAACATTCCCTCGATCCCGTCCAGACCAACTGGATATATAAGTTCACTTCTCCACGCTCATTTAGATAACTTAGATAGCCAGTTGTTAACACAGAATCAAGATTGCAACACGCTCTGCACTGCTTACTATCTGGTGACATTTGTTATTACTGTTTACATTGCCCGAAGATCTCCTGATCGCTCCGCCAACATAAACCCAGAACTGAACTCTAGGTTTGTCCCTTGGGAAGCCCTCGTATTACTAACTATCTAGTGTACGGTTCGTCACATTTTTGCAGTGATTTTAATGTGATTTTTGCAGCCAATTTGCAGCGATTTTTACGTGATTTTTGCAGCGATTTTTGCAGGCCTTTTGCAGCGATTTTTGCAGCGATTTTTACGTCATTTTTACAGCGATTTTTGCAGTGATTTTTGCAGCCAATTTGCAGCGATTTTTACAGTAATTTCTATAGTTAATGCTATATAGGTATATAGTTTGAATAAAAATTATATACACTGTACTAAAGAATTTTTAATAAATAAAAATGGGCCTAAAATAAGTATCTAAATTTTTAATTGGTTTAATTTTTCAGTAGGGTATCCCTAGTAATAAAAAAGTCAACGCACTGTGTTTTGAGACAGAAGTCACTATAGTCAACCGTAGTATCAAGCATCCAAGCAGGCGTATCCAGGCAAGATTATCCGAAAACTTGGAGCAGACTATGCCAGCGAAAATTCGCCAGAGGTGTTTGGTCGAAATTCTCGGAAAATCCCCGCCATGGAGTCTTCCTAGACCGGGATTCGTCGTCTTTCTCGAGCGGACGTTGGCGAAATATCCGAGACGGTGATTATTCGACGATTTCGGCTAGGCGTTTGATTCCCCGGCTTGTTGAGGCCAGTTTAGGTCCCCAAGCTCGGACGGGTCTTAAAATAGGCCTACTGCCAAGAATATGGGCTGTCCAATCATGACTTTATGATTTTAGGCACTGCCCGTATCTTATCGTAATCTTATCGTAATCTTATCCGCCTATGGCGAAATATTGTGGCTATTCTAAACCCAGTTGGCCCAGGCAACGAAGGGCGACCAGATGCTCCCCAATCAGACTCTGCCCACAGTAACACCTCGGCTGAAGCAAGCCACTATTAACATGTTGTGATGAAGCACGAGTAGAAGTGTAGGGAAAAACACCACAGGGCGTCCTTGCTATGACCGCTGTCACGAACACCACCGCCATCGAGGGCGAAAAGTTAACTGGGCCTTGCTATGGTCGTAATGAGCCGTCCAATGTTGCGAGTGGAGAGGAGGAACTATGCGTGAATGGGGTTAGAGAACAGCTGAGGGCTTTAATCTCCCTTAGGAGGCGCTAGGTATACAGTACCTTTTGATTTATATGAGACTTGGTTGAATTCGATGGGCAAGGAATGATTAGGGAGTTCGAGTGAACCTATTTGTCAGGGTTCAAGCCCTCAGACAACTTTTAAAACCTATAGTGATCCCAAAGTGCTCGCTGACCCAAATATCATCCAAAATTGCTTTGGTTTTCAGCCCTATTCCAAAACGACCCAATTTTCCAGTGATGTCCTGAGCTTCACTCAACGCAAACGTCTCAATAGACCCTGTGTAGAGAAACTTGTCCAACCGTTTTCGTGTTCTTCTAGCTCTGTCGGATTGGTAGCCCCACGTATTTCCTCTGGCTTTACCATATGTGATATCTTTCTGGAAGGGCTTTAAGGCCGGCGGTGTCGGCGCTGGCTCATCCTCCCAACGGTCCTTCAGGCCTAACTCGGGTGCTCGGTGAGTGTTGTGCTCGGACGGATTAACCGAATTCATGTCGCCGCCAACCAGCTCACCACAGATTCTCTGCCCCTGAGGCGAGTCGCTTTTCAGCAGCGCTGATACTTGGACGAGTTAGCGAAAACGGAGCTCTTTTCCTGTGTAGAGTGACTCAAGGTGCGTTGTGCATAGGCGAAGTGCCCGTTTTGATGCTTCGGGGCCATGGACCTTGAACACGGGAACGTCAACCACAAGGGCATCTCTCTCCATTTCAGAGACTAAGGGGATACGGAAGCAGCTTGATATTGGCAAATTCCGCGAAATCATCATAAGAGTAAAATATCGACTGTGTATGCAGTCGGGTTTCTCGTCAAAGGATTCATTGTCTGCACCATCGAACTATGGTGGCTCTGTATTCGGAGAGGACGAAGTTTTGTTGAGTCCACTTGTTCTCCAGGATGACTTCTAGTGATTCTTGGCGGAGTTCTTGGAAAAGTACCCCGAGGTTGTGAGGTTCTGGGCCAAGCATGGTCCGCAAATAGGCGATGGCGGCGGAGGCACGAGCGACGGTGGCGGGAACCGAGAAAAACAAGTTCCAGGATGCAATTTTAAGGACATCTCCCCGCCTAAGTGTTCTGACTTCATTGTTAAAAGGTGTCCAAGATGAAGATTGGACGTTATATATCTGTGGCTGGAGGAAGTTGGGGCTGGTCTGTTGGTCGATGAGAGACTGTGGTATGGATGTCTTAGTAACTCTGTCGTCCACGAACTCGAAGGACCCTGACATGGCGTCGAGATATAAATCGTTGAATTCAAAGTCAGAGAGGTCGTGGACGTTGCGGAAATCACCTTGCGGAAATCGCCTTGTTTGAGCATGAAGTATGTGCATAACGGCAAAGAACGCTTCTTCATTCCAGTCGTTGGCATTTACATAAAATGAAAAGCAATCTTTTCGGAGGTAGATTCCTTCCAGTTGTTGGCTATCAGATGAAATAATCAGACGCTTATCGTATATGTATTGATCGATCTTAATACTTACAGTACCATCAATCTATCATACATTTCCCTCGTTTCTAGATCGGCATACTTCTGCACGTCTTGGTGCTCGAGCGCTATGCCGCATTCGGGGCATCCAATTTGTTCCCATGGTTTGCTGGAAAGCTCCGTTTTTATGGCGAGTGTTATACACGGCAGGCACGTTGTCGGTGTATGGGTGCACTTTCGAGAAATTTGTGACGTAGGGAATTGCGTTGATGATTTGGTTTCGGCGCAAACACTGCAATCTTTTGCCATCTTGATGATGACTCGATTATATTATGCTGACTCGATTATAAACAAGCAGTAGGCAAAGCTGAACGCAGCTAGGCGACTTGCAAGAAGTTTTGTTGTTAGTGCAAGATGGAAGAACGAAGCCTGGGCATGATTACAGACTTAATAAGGGAGAGGGGGAATGTCTGAGCGGGGTTGCGGCTTAGTCAACCATGAATGCTACTGTGGAATGCGGGTTCATTATCATTATTGCAAGCAGTTTAACAGCTCTGCTATACTGATTTATTATGCTTGATGGTGGCTTGTATCAGTTCTTTTATAGTCTAGACTTACTAGTCCATCTACATCTCACAAGTAGCGATGACTTTGGTTGCGTTGACCGGCGTGGCTTTTAGTACTGCGTGATGTCAGCCGCAAAACAGCATTTGAATCGCTTGTGTTTCTGCGAAGCAGGGAGGATGATTGATCCGTTTCCGGCTCTGAGTATCATACTATAAGGTATCAGTTTCTATGGTGGTTGAGGCGGGTAGATATGGGGTACATTTTCATTGGCCTTTTGCGGAATAAAACATTGAAGATCCACCTATAAGGAAGTTGTCACGTCATTTCTCGAAATTAGTAAAAGATGCGTCCGCAACCGGTAAGTAAATCTATACGGAAGAAGCAAGAATAATGTCTACAACGGGCAACAGTGAAGTATATGGGTTTTGAAGCTGTGAATTGAGATTCTGTTACTTCAGGTCTGAAAGGTCTTGAAAAAAATAGTAAATGGTAACAATTCGATAGCACAGAATAATAGCTGGCAAAATGTTAGTAGTATGACGTATACTAAACACCTACGATACTTCCACGTAATGAATTAACTTCGCCGTTTCTGAATTAATCCTAGTCTACTGCTCCCACAGGCAAGCTTTCACTCTAAACCTTATTCAAAAGTCCTCTAACAAACCTAGATTGTTGTGGTTGAGGATTAGTCCAGTGGGAATTTATCACTAGTTGAAGGTCGCTTTCGTTCCCTATTGTCTTGGACCTCTGTACGCGTTTTGCGACGCAGATTGTACTGCACTCAACGTCAGGTGCAAGGCTTTGATCAGAGCCTCCATTGTGCCTGGCCTCTCCAGTCTAAATAGAGACGAGATCATTCAGTCAAGACCATCTAGACCATGAAGGCCAAATGAGGCGATTGCTATTATGCCTGACGTCTAGATGGAAGCTAATGAATTCGGTGGATCTATTTTGTTATGCTTAATTATCGGACCACCACGGCACCGGCGGGCTAAGGCCAGCCCGGGGGTTCTCCCAAGGCTTAGTGACATATTTACCCGGGTGGTTAACTATCAATTGGTAGGGCATGACTAGTCAACTAGCTACCTTCCTTCTTACTGTATTTCTTAGAGCATCATGAGAGATGTTCTTATTTTGCTATTTTTTTTTTGTAGAGGGAAAGCTCGCCTGTGAGAATAGTAGACCTTCATCGATCACTACTACAAACTACAGACTATAGACTGTCGAAGAATTAATATGGTATCTAGGTTTATGTATAGTAATTTAAATCGATACATATTGTAGATAGATATTTCCTAATCTATATTCTAATATTTAGAGCAGTATTGATACGTTATGTAAAGGTACTTCATCCATGTATAAATATCAGGTTTTTAGCGGCCACGTCAACCGTTGCCTTTTTTACTAGCCTAAAAGCTCAAACCCCGCCTTTCACATCTAATAACATATGTAGAAAACAAACGGCAAGAACGCGTTCAGCAACCATGGATACCGAAATCGACCAAACGACGCTTGATTTGATACTCCAGCTGCAGCTGCAAGATACTCAAATTTTGATTAAAGGAAAGCAGCGAGAAGGCGAGCAATCCGACGCCGAGCTTGCAGCAGAGCTGTATAAGCAAGAGCTCGAGTCATTTCCCTCATTTTGTTATGACCGCATCATGAGCCGCAGTATCGCTCATGCGGTTTTGAAAGATGGTGAATTAATTAGTGACCATGTCTTCAAAGAGAAACAGGCAGCGCGTGACCGAGAGTTTGCTATACATGGCGAATATCCGGAAGAGATATCGCGCATAGCCACCCCGGAAACATTCATGGATGAAGAGATGATTAAGAAGCTTACAGCGCTCTACATTGGGAATCACCAGCCTCTGATTGTCGGAGAACCTTCGTCAAGCCGGGCAACTCCGACTGTTGCATCGGCTGCCGCCAACGAACAGCGACACTGTGTCTCTTGTATGACAGATGTCCCATTCTTCGAAACTGTGCAGTGTCCCTGCTTGCATGAATACTGTCGCAGATGCATAGCGAACTTGTTTAAAGCGGCAATGAATGATGAGTCACTATTTCCTCCTCGTTGCTGTAGCCAACAGATACCTCTCGGCCTTAATCAGATTTTTTTGCCTGGAAAGCTGGTTGGGCAATATCGAGCAAAGGAGCTAGAGTATGCTACGAAAGATAGGACATACTGTCACCTACCGAATTGTTCTACATTTATTCCTCCAGTCTTTATCAAAGGGGATATAGCGACATGCCCAAAGTGTCAGAGCGAGACTTGCTCTATCTGCAAGAGTCCGTCTCATAATGATAACTGTCCTCAAGATACGGCAACATTAGACCTTCTTGGCATTGCGGCAGAAAATGGCTGGCAGAGGTGTTACTCATGCTACAGGATAGTCGACTTGATCACAGGATGCAATCATATCAGTAGGTTTCAATGCCCCTTCGATATTGCTCTGCTAATAGGTATACTGTTAGCTTGTCGCTGTGGAGCTCAGTTTTGTTATGTTTGCGGAGTGAAGTGGAAAGATTGTAGCTGTGACCAGTGGGATGAGCATAGATTGCTCGATCGAGCGAATGCTCTTGTAGATCGAGACGCAGGCGGAAGACTAATGGAGGAGGCAGATCGTGCTGTTCGTGTGGAGCACGAAAGATATAATCTTGTTGAAAACCATCAGTGTTCACATGAAAGGTGGAGATCCCGAAATGGTGCTTTTCAGTGTGAAGAGTGCCGTGACCGACTGCCCCAATTCATATATGAATGCCGCGATTGTCGAATTCTAGCGTGTCGGAGGTGCCGATACAACCGGCTCTGAGTAACATACATTAAGCTTTTGTTATATAGTCTTTGAAATATTGATATAAAAGAAAATCATTAAATCATATGATTCTAATATCCAGCTGAGGATTCTTTTTTTTTTTTTTTTTTTTTTTTTTTTTATTGGTATATTAGCAGATGGGCCACAGGCGGCTGGACGGACAGATAAATAGACATGTAAATAGAAAGCAGGTAAATAAGCAGATAAATAAGTATTATTTCTGGAATATACCTAATAACCTATGACCGAGCTAAAATGATGTAGTATTTATGGTTGAAACTGTTCCAGCTTTCATTATTATCTAAACCGATGAAGGGGCTGCTCTACTAATACCCTATGCGCTTATGCTTTATCGATAAGAAGCGCCTGATCTTCTAAATCGATGGCGCTCGGCCGCAGAGATCAGAGCATCGTTGTAACCATGTTTGCCGCCAATAATGATGGCTTTTTCTTTAAACCTACGCTAAACGTTTTTGCATTAAATCTCCAAATCCAGTGTTTCGGTTGATGCTACCACCGTTAGTACCGATATTAGCATCATATCGCAGAGCGGGGCCCCAAGGCGGCTCTCGAGACAACAGTTCGTTGTGGCGTAATGGTCTATCACTCTCTAGTCTTATTCAATTTTAATGAACTACAATGCTTCATGACGCCGCCTCAGCATCTGAAAGTTGGGAAATTAATATATCTACAGGCGTGAAATCAGTCGTAATTAGCCATAGCACAGTTTTGGGATCGTTTTTTTTTTTCTTTTTTGTGTTGCGGATGGTTATTGTGGCCGTGGATTGGGAGTTATAGCCATGTTGCGGTAATAGATAGAAATATTATTGAACTATTTCGCTAACCTATGTCCGCGCTAAACTGAAGTAGTATTTTCTATTGAAAAAGTCCGGCTTTTATTATTTAGGATAGATGAGAGAGAGGCTGCTTCATAATAGAAAACATTAATACTCCATGGACTTATGCTTTATCGTTAAAAACCAACTCTACCCCGATCTTCTAATTAAACTCTACCCCTGCCATAGTCGGTCATACAGGGTTAAATAAATCAACTCTACTAGAGTTGAGAGCGAGGAAAGAGGAGGAGTGAGAGAAGCAACAGTGTCGCAAACGGAGGCGACGAGGTTTCGATGATGATGCAATGACCGACCATTTGTCACCATTCCCCAATCGCTACACTTTTGTGTGTGCTGGGACTTGCGTTTTGGTTGGACCTGTCGACAAATCCGGTAGCAGGAATGATCTCTGCCGAGTTGCAGGTATTGTTAGCAGCCACCTGGACAAAGGCAATGCAGTACAGGAGCAGGATGGAGTGTTTGTGGGTCTGCTGCTCACGATACCAACTTTTGAAGCTTACGCTATATATTTGCATGTAATCCCAATGACGGCAAGGTGTGAAAGGACATCCTTGCCAGGATCAAATATCAGATGCATGAACGGTTCTCAAGCATAATTGGCTGTCAAAATTGTGATTGCATGGTACAACTTGATGGATTCCTAAACTTCCTGACATTGGTCGAGCCGTTACCGAGTCCCGCTTCGAAAAGCACTTCCGTCTTAATGCATGCCACCTGCAATCTCGGCTCATCCTCGAAAATGGCGGGTAGCCCGTTACGAGTCTTGTTGCACTTTGCACCGCATCGCTCCGGGTGTCCGCGATATTCGGCGACAGCTCGAGGACATACAAAAACCTTTGAACTCCCCAAGGCATATGAGAAATCGAACTTGGTGTTGGCATTCACAGTATTAAAGTGTCTCGGTAGTGCCTGGAAGATATTGCTGCCACCAAAGATATCGATGCTGTATCGAACTCTGACGGCAGCCAGATAACGCTCGTTCTGGATCCAATCCTCCAACTTGGAGATACCAAAATATTTTGCCTCGCCGAGGAGAGCCAGATACATTGCGTAATCATGAGACTGCGTGGTGACGTTGAAGAACAGCGGAGGATTGCCCCTCCGAAGATAGCGGAGAACGTGTTCGAACAGGGTTGGATCCGCATCCACAAAGTACGAGCCATCTTCGTCAGCGTCGTTCCAGCTACCGGAAAGACGAGCACGAAAATACACGCTTTCGCCAACGAGCGTATTACGGGTCGTAGTAAATCGCCGCTCGCCGACCTGTAGCGTGTCATGCTGGCTGTGCTGCTGTTATATTCCGAAGGAAAGGCCATGATCTAATATCTCTGTCGAAAGGACTCCTTTAGTGAAAGATGACGGATGTGGATGCTATATACAAGCTGGTCCACAGCACTATATTTGACATTTTATTGATTGAGATATCATCTCGCTCGCATGAATCACGCCACGCTCAGCATTAGGTAACGCAGTGATCTATTTCGGGCCGTCTTTCGCCCGTACAGGGTATAATTAGAGTTTGACTATCTCATGGCTCTTACATACTAGGCTGACAGAAACTGCTTTGTAGGGGCCATAGATGCCAACTATGAAAATGTAAAACCATCTCGACTCTCACTAGCTCACGAGGGCTGTGCTCTCTGTGCTCTTCATGGGGTATTCTTGTGCAGGGGACAGTTAATCACTGGTGGACTTCCATTTGGCGTCGGACACAAAAACACGCCAATTCACATATAGAGAAATTGTTATATAGAAAAACTAGCATTTAATGTTTGGGCAGTCTACAAATGCACTCTTCAGGTTGGGCTATGATGGAGACTGCTAAATCCCCATCAACTTAATCAAGTGCATCCTATGGGATTATTAGGCTGCAGGTGGCCTACAGCTGTGGGCGGCCTACCGTGTAAGCCGCAAAATTCGCAGGCCTCGTGTTAGTCAATGGTTGGGTAATGGCACACTGATACGAAGTTCAACGTAAGGTATTCGAATAGATTATGAGGGGGATAATGTACAAGAAACCTGGGTAGACGGGAGATTCTCATACTACCCATTGATTGCGTCTGCCAATCAACGTCCGTCTCCTTCCTCATCGTGGAGGGTACGTCTCCACTTGAATCGAAGTAAGACGCCGCACGCGACAGGAATTTAGTTTCTTATGATCGTTGGCCACCCACTTCAAAGTAACCAGGATTCGCAGCTCCCACTTCGCACCAGCCTGAGTATGGAGTACGCACTTTGACGTGACCAAGAGTCGTATTGGACTTTACATCATTATATTTCAGTAAGATCTATCAGGATAAGCACTCTCAAGAAGAGTCTATCTCGTCGATCTCACTTTCGACAGAAACCCCATTCCCACTATAATTAAGGGATTCCTATTTAACCGTATTAAAGTCTCCAGTCCGTAATGTACACCCGCTACTATCATAACTAACGCGGTCAGAACCGTGGTTTTCTTCTATATCATTTATTTGTGCTCTCTTTTACATCCTGTGCATATTAACACGTCATACTTAACAATTAAGTATTTCTGTGACAGCCGGCTGCGATATACATCTGATATTATATATACCGTTTACTGGTGGTAGCTATCTGTAAAGAGTAGCCGAGAACCAAATTGCAAACCGTAGGACCATATTATTGCCGAGCAGCAGCAAATTGTAGCGAAGACTTCTCCTTTCCACGTTTCTGAACAGAAAAATGGTGCTAGAGATTGGAATCCACAAACACGAAGAAATAGAGAGGATTACAAGGCCTTCGGCAGGGCTAGATTGACCACAAGATGCAATAAACGTCCAGGAGACCAAAATTGCCGGCATCGTCCCCCCGCAAGTCATTTTAATTCCATCAGCTTTTTCGCGTAGTATAGAAAAAGGAGTCCAATAACTTGAAAGTAAAACCCGAGGCGTACTCCAGTTCCGTATAAATCTGAAGCCGCTTGTTCGTCTCTAATACTGCCCATTGCGTTATATTGTTTCTGCTTTTTGTACGATTATTCCGCAATTTCCAAAAGGTCATATGTTAATACAAGTATATTTGACAGACAAGTATTCCTACTGTTTTCTGTGAAGCTGTTATATGTTTGCAGCAGAAATGGAATTAGTCTCCCCACGGAGGTAGAAGTGGAGTTACATGCATACAACAGCGGCGAAGTTCCGGCGGAGGGTGGAACAAACAATCTCCAGTGCCACAGACGCGATCAAGTTTATACAGAGGCAACACTCAGTCAATCACACCGCCCAATCCAGGAAGGTTGAGAGCGGCGACGAAGATGCTCCTGATCGGGTGATTCCGACGTTCTTCCTCGACTTCCTTGCCATCCTGGGCAAACCCGGCGAGGCCGTCTCCAAGGCTACCGATAGCCATCCTCTCTATTCCATCAGCATCTCCTTCAAGGACTGGGCAGCTCCTTACTCCGGCAAACACCTCAATGCTGCCTTGTCCTTTAGCTTGACCGGACGCACATTTAAGATTAGAGCCGATGGATTGGGGATGACGTGGTTTATTATCGTCGCCCCTGATCCCAGAGGAGCGACATTTGGTGATGGCCGGAGGGAAGATGAAGGGGAAGACACAGATGGTGAACCGGACCGGCCAAACGGCCGATCAGAACGTCAAAACGGAAGGGGGACCGGACCCGGAGAGCGGGCCAAGCCAAAAGGAACGGCGCTCAAGAGCTGGCGCGCAAAGAGGTTTATCGAGTACTTCCACAAATGCGTCAGCAGCACCATATTGGGAAGGGGGATCGAGGAGTCGTGGCGCCTGTGGAGCCAAGAGACGGCACAGATCTCCCTGACTGACTGGGCAGCCTTGCAAAGGGCGCTTGTATCCGGATAATCGTGGAGATGAGTGTTCAGGATAGGTTCTGGGCAGGGACCCAGCTGGCATTCCACTCGTACGGGTATGGGGGTAACGTTTCGATTGAGGTGTGCTGGATTTGCCGGAGCCTGCTGCTGTCGACACGAGCCCTGCGGCCTGTCCAGTCACGTATAGTTTTCCCGTATTCCCAAGCTCCTATTTCCCAAGCAAATGTCGCTTCTGTTGTCCCAAATTCTAGTCCTTCCATTTGTTGCAATTTATTTCCAATAATCCAGTATAACCCTTGCAAGGTTGTTTGTCGCGTTCATTTTTCAATTTTCCAAGAAAAAAATTTTGGTATGTTTCCATCGTCCAGGAGCTGGAGAAGACTCGGAGGGATGACGATGACGACGGTGACAATAATAATAATGACAATAACGATGATTACGATAATGATGATTACGATAACTATGATGAAGATAATGAAGGTGATGGTAATAACGACCATGGCGAGGACATTGTTAATAACAATGGCAATATATCAGGGATGCAAGATGACATCGTCACCGCCCATGGCAGTGGTCCCGCTGGATCTGAACAAGAGAATGAGAACTCACAAGACGGGCATGAGAGGAGAACTGGTGCGAATTCCAGACCTCCGGTTAACCTGCGCCGGGAACAAACAGCACCAGAGAGAGATCCCGATGGTGGAGCGGCGAGGCTGGTCCATTACGCCGAGACCGCACCCGGCCTACGCCAGCTGGGCTTGACCGTTGATGCTATTTTTGACCTTAACACTATAGACAGCATAGCCTATGCCCTCGCCGCCGATATCAACTGTCTCGGCAATGGAGAGCCGAGTTGCCTGCTTGCAGACTTCAAGGAGGTCGACGATCAGTACAAGGACCGCAAGCTCGCCAATCTCACGCACTACGCGCTGGGCTTTAACCCTCGGCACGGTAACTTCACATCATGCTTGCCCCCCGACTTCATAGACAACGTGCTACGGACGGTGTGCTCTAACATGAGTTGCGAGAACGACAACGCCGACATAGTTACGCCCGGCTACTTCCAAGGCTACTCCAACATCAAGAAGACGGTGCGGTTCAACCCACAGGATCTCCTCGCAAGCCAGGCCATTGCTACTGCCGCGCTGTCCCTGCCAGTCTCGGGACCGGGCATTACGCCTGCGGCGAAGAAGACGCAACAAAAGCTGCTAGACCAACTGACGGGTGAAAATAGCCCGGAGGCCAGGTTTCGTACAATCCCCTTTGTGCGGGAAGCAAGCCGGCTTGAACAGTGCATCGAGGAGGGCGAGTACGCATTCAGGATGGAGCAGGTCATCACCATCTCCGTGTCCCAGCTGCTCCCAGAACACCGCACCATGCCCATGGTGCTGAGGCCGATGACGCAGCTGATCAGCTTCTTCCTTACGGCGCAGAAGGAGTACACTCAGGTGCTCAGAATATTCGACCCCGAAGCGTTTCCCGGAGTGCTGTGCGCATACGCCAGGCTCTTCGAGCTCATCGCGGCCTCGATGCTCGCCCAGTTCAAGCGTGGGGGGAAGGCAGGGCTCACGGTGGAGCTGGGAGAAGCCATGGCGGCTGTTGATCGACTGGGGAGCTTCTGCTTTACTGGCGACAAGAGGGTGCTACCAAGCACGGCCTTCAGGTATCTGGGCACGATGGAGAGCATCAGGAACCATGCGTTCCCCTACATCGACCCGGGGAGACTGAACATGGCCGGCCAGGGGAGGATGAACTTAAAGAACTGGCCGGGTGTGCAGAACCGCCGAGTGCACCTCCTACAGGCCGCGTCTTTACAGTACCACTACGGAAAGCAAGTGGCGGCAGGCCGGGAATCTGAGGCCAGGGTCCAGCTTCTGTCACAGGATGCCTATGCTGCGGTGGAGTACATAGAGGAGGTCTTCCGTAGTCACTTCGTGCCCGAGATGCGGCAGTTTTTCGCAGGGAGGATCCGGAGGCTTCTCCAGAAGCGGGGACGCAGAGTCGAGCTTTCAGACGAGCAACGGGAAAAGCTCCAAAAGGGTCGCCTATGCCTTGATGACTGGGAGGCCGCGGGTCAGAACGGCACAGCCGCGTTCAGCTCCGAGTAAGTACAATTACCTAGATATCCAAGCATCATCCATACCACCACAGCAAAAAGCCACTGCCGGGCCCTAAGCGGCAGCATATGCAGATGCAGATGCAGATGTAGAGAGCTAACTAGCAATGTGTACGTAGGAGATTTAGCAGTATCGTAGCGGAAATCAACGACGCCCTAGATGAAGGGCAAGGCCAGCTGAAGGAGGCGATTACAAGTGACAAGCTGGAGCAAGACAGATATGTCGATCACATCCTGGAAGCTCTCCAATCTAGTAACGACAAGGCAATGGATAGGACCCTCAGCTCGAAGAACATGACGTGGCTGGCCGTGCTGAGTTCTCTCTTCCGGCAGATGTACAGCAAGGGAAATCCGGAAAAGTCAACCGAGCAGAGGCGATATCACATCGGGTCGGCGCTCAGACGCGACCGCGTCGAATGGGTTCTGGGGAACTCCCGCGGGACCATCACGGCGACGATTGCCCAAAGGGTGCTGCCGTCAATGGAGAAGAGCTCGTTGGTCGGCTGGGCCATGAATCTACATCCTGGGAGTCTGAAACGGAAAGCCGTCGAGTCGGAGATCGCGCGGGAGAGCAAAAGATAGGGCCAAGGAGACCTGTATCGACTTTGGGTGCACGTTTCCCCTCAGCGGCGGTCTCCCAGACGGGCTCGAGCGCGGCTTCAAACAACTGCTGGAGAACCCGGGCCACATGAAGGCGCCTCACGCAGGGCTCACCAACCACTACAAGAAAGCGCACCGCTTGCTGGAAGAGCTCCAGGCAAGGCCCGAGGTCGGGCTCCTCTGCATGCTGGCCTTGACAGTGGGCATGACATCAGATATGGTCGTGTACAACGTGCCCAGGGGAAGAAGCCAGGACGAAGTCGTCGGTTTCGCCATCGCCGGCAAGAAGGTCAAACAGAAGAGGGGAAGGACGCGGGCGGCCCTGCTGGCAATACGGATGCTGTGGTTCCTCGAGCCGGACCAGTTCGTGTGGAAGAAGGCGCGAGGTCAGGAGAAGAGAGAGGAAGAGGCAACAATGTATAGCACGCAGTACGTGCGCGAGGCGACAGGTAAGCTATGTTGAAGGCATGAAAGCAACTGAATTGACCTTCAATTCGCTGACGGGCCATCTCCTCGGTCCACAGAACAATACAGGATAACGAACAACATGCTTGCGACATTGGGTTGGATTGATAGCAGGGGCAATGAGCTGAACGCGAAGTCAGAAATGCTCCGGATAGCAAGCCAAGAAACGCTGCGGGCGCGACTACGGCTGCTGGGCAGTCTGATGAGTAGGCCGGCGGATTTCATCAGAGAGGTGTTCCAGAACGATGATCCGAAGTGGGTTGATCAGTGCAGGGCCATTATCAAATGAGAACGCCAGGACGAGGATACCTTTTCAAGTAATATAAAGCGTAAGTTACTCAAGCAAAATAAACTACGTATATGTATAAAGGCAGAAGCCAAGCATATTGCAGGTTTCTTTTTAACTTCAAGCCCGGCTCTTTACTTAAGGTTAGTTTTCACGAAAAACCGTAGTGAAGCAAGAGACCATATTGTAAGAGCAGAAACTGGATGATAAGGGCTTCTGCGCTTTAATGAGATGAAAGCTAAGATTCAGAATATACACGTGCTATGGGTTCATAGATGCCGTTTTGGACTTTCCACCGGGCGTAATAAATGAATGAATGAATGAATGAATGTAATAATATACAACTGAAAAGGTTTTCCCAAAAGTACTATACCCAGAGCCTATAATAATAGATTTTGTAACATTACCAAGTAATAGTAATAGTACAGCTTATAACCTTTTTTTTATCTTTGTTAACAGTAATTGTACAAGATGCGTTTAGTCCTGCAAATCTCAAAGACCTAAAATTTCCATTTGAGCTCAAAGCTGTGCGAAGATCACTGTAGCATGTTTCCATAATACTCTTGACTTCATCTTCTGGCCAGTTATCAACAAGAAGAAGATCAGGATCACTGCCTTCGGGATTAAATGGACCGTCAAGTGTTATAATAAAAGAAGGCATTGTAGATATTGAAGTTTCAATTTCTGGTCAAGTTAAATATAGGGTTGGCTTAGAAACTTTTCTATATGTTAGTAAAAATAATATAAAACAAATCAATACTTATTTGAACAAAGGCGAACCTGTATGTAAAGTGTTAAATTTGTTATACATTAGTTCAGTTGAGCATATTGTAAATATCTTTAGCAGTTGAATTTGTTTTACAACCTTGGGAAGTCATTTGTAGCAGCTTTAGTCTTTTTTATACTATTAGCTTATGTATTAAGGTATTTATTATTACGGGTAGTATTGATTTAATCAACCCTTGTATGACCCACAATGTCGGGGGTAGAGTTGATTTAAAAGGACCGGGAGTAGCCTATGTATTTAAGTGACACGAGAATAAGAAATCTTCTTTCGCATCGATAAAGTTTGCTCGCCTTCTTTCACTCTATTAGAAGATTCCTATCTTTCAAGGTATTATAGATAGGAGGCGAATAGTTCATTCTAAGGCAATTGATTTGAAGATTTGGAAGTTACTCTCTGACATTTGCAACTTCAAACGTGAATAGCGAGCTCAACGTGGAGGCTGTATCCAGGTAGACGGCAATAGACTACTCACATTAAACCATTCTTTAGTCATCATTATCCGTCCATCGATGTATTGAGCCAGCTTATTCCATGGGGAGCCATAATCCATTCTCCAGTACAGGCACCATATCGGAAGTGGGGGAGCCTTCCTCGCTCCAATGATGTCTTAACCACAATTTCACATCCTGTATTTCATCAATCTTCTCAAAAAAGCCCTTTAGCTGATACAAGATACAGTCAATCCACCAAATATGTCCTGAGAAGTTAGTACTATCATCAGGTAATCGGACTAAGACTCACCAAGCTGATTAATGAGTCTATATCTTGTTGACC